GGGGGGGGGGGGGGGGGGGGGTAGAGTTTTCGAAGGTGTTGGCGAAAGAGAGGTGCCAGTATGAGGTAACGTTTCACAGTTCATTGCTCGTACATGGAGGGAGAGCTTGTACATACTCCTAGTGTTATTGTACGTGCAAGAGTTTTCCGGGGATTCTGGGGTGCTCATATGAATGTACAATCTGGATGATACTTGTCCAAAGCAAGAGGGCACTTGTGCTGTTATCCAAAAGTGAGAAAGTACTGTTGGAGAGTCCTTATCTCGTATGTTTCTCATAATTAAGACACGTGAAATACGTGAAACGAAAATAGAATAAAATAAAAAGGAGGTGGAGGGGGGGAGGGGGGAAGGAAGTTCAAGGGAGAAATGGAATAAGGGGTTGAGAAGTGGTAGATCTCATAAACCAGTGGGGAAATCTAATTGTTGCTTTGGAAAAGACGGAGGACAAAGGGAAATGTAGTCCGCAGTTGAATTATAGAACAGACAAAGAGTCACGGTGCACTGGATAATCTAAACGGGTATGGGGTATATGGTGAAGTACGTCTGTCGTTAGAGGCTGTGCGGAGTGTTGCCTCTGAAAAGGGCGACATTTAATTGCTACGACCTGCAGCCAGATAACCAACTTCGTTTAATTAACGGAGTGACGTGCATTGGCTACGCGTATCGAGTGATTTCTTCGTGGAATCTCCAAGTTTTTTTTTATTCATTAATGGCGTTTGTTTGACAGCGAGTTTTGCGCCATTTTGATGGCCGTCAGGCGCTTTTGGTGCGGCGGTGTACATGGTTTATCTTTTCCTTTTCGTTCTTCGTTGGTAATCCTCGGATTTTTGTGAGATATCGGACATTGCATTAATTTTTGGAAATTATTTAGAATTGTGGGAGTTTTTTCACCTTAAGTCTATCAATATTATGAAATTTCAATTTTTTTTGTAAGAGTGTGTGAGAATTTTTTTTAAATTCCAGATAGCTAGACTTGAATTCATGGATCGACATCAATCATTAATTTTAGTAACATTTTCGTGGGAATTTAAAAATTATAAAATAATTGATAACTTAAATTTTTCAATTGACTATGAATTAAATAATTGACAATATGGAATTGTCACTTGACTATCGAGCAAATATTTCTAAATTTTATAAAAGGGATTTTCGATTAGCCAAATAATCGTCAATCCTCCAACCTCAATTATTCATTAATAAAATGATTCAGAATTTGGATATTTAATTGGTGAGTGCTATTAAAAATTGACTGAATCAAAATTTTGCCGATGTCTACCTGAATTATCAATGCTATAAATTTGGAGCCAATTTGGGTTGTAATCGTTAACAAAATTACTCATTCATTCAAAAATTCTATAAAATTGAATTTTTCTCAAGTTTTCAAACTTATCTTAAAAATAGGATATTACATTCCGGCTTGAGAATAAATCAAATAAATAGAATATTAAATGTCCATTAAACGAGCAAAACCCAAAATCAATTACTGTCTTAAATTTTATTCTATTTGTCTTCATTTGAAAAGCTCTTCATACCCATTTGTGGCACAAAAGCACACGCTTTATTTTTCCCTTTTCGTTCTTCATTTTTAATGCTCGTAGTTTCGTGAGGGAAGGAAAGCATTTCCTTTGATCGTGGAAAAAAAGCTAGATATCAGATAAAGCCGAGGTATTTAGGTGAACATAACTGTGCATTGAGTTTTTAGCGCATTCATTACGGCCATTCGGGCTCTCGGAGATAATCGAGGGCTTCTTCTACCCTCCG